AATTTACTGGCAATAAACACTTTGCAACAAATAGTTATAACAGTGTTAACAGCAGCAATAAAAATAACAACAATAACAAATAGCAAAACATCATTAGTGATGATAATAGTAACAATAAATAGCATGGTTATCGGGCATTTTATTCATAAAAATTGACATTTTTCGTAAGACTGAAAACTTCATCCTCTAAAAAGCCCTGTACTGTTGCTTGAAAGCTGGAAAATAAAAATTCATCGCAAGATGCTTGTGCTGTACGAATTATTCCTCTTCAAACATCCTGTACCAAGCAAAATTATGAAAATAATTTCTTCAGTTGAGCTGGGCCGAATTCGTACTTCGCCTTGTACTGCACCCTTCATGACAGTCAGGGCATCTCCGAAAGTAATTCAAGCGCCAACATTTTACCAACAGCTGCTACCATCTAGCGCAGCTACCAGATGGTTTTCTTCCACAGACTTCTTTTATATACGCAGATTGATGGTTTTTATAGTATAGTTGAGTTAATCTGCCGCCATCTTGTTTGCTCTCCAGCAATAATTCTAGTAAAAAATCAAAGTGACTGATGAATGCGAGGCTGAAGGGAAAAAAAGGAATAGCAGCGGCAGAGGAATGAAAGAGGCTGGGGGAATGGAAATTGGAGCTTTCAATTTTGCAACACTATTTTGCCGGATTTCCGGGCAGAACTGTAAGGTTTTTTTTTGGCGTTAGTTTTGGACATATATGGAAGAACTGTATGCCTAAAGTCAAATTTTGATACATTATCGAATTGCTAAATCATTTCACTCGAGGTTTTGCAAAATCGATAAAATGATAATAACGAAGAAACCTTTTATTAATTTTCAGTTCACACAGTTGGGTTTGCTTTAGCAAAACTTAATAAAAGTTAACATTGCGTGCCACAGGTTGTTGGTATCGGATGTGTTTTCGCATGAGTCAACGCAGTAATGAGACTGTTAAGATAGTAAACAGTGAGCAAGGCAATCAATTGGATGATTTCAGAGAGTGTTTAGTTCCCGAAAATCCTTCTCTGACAGAAAACAACTATTTCAGCAAAGCGAATAATTAGTCTTGAAAACGGATTTTTTGCACCAGTGATCAAGATTGCCGCACATTTTACTACTCAGCTCGATAATTCGCTTATAGAGTTACAAATATCTTAAGCTTTACTTGGTGCAACAGTGCTATTCACATTTTCTTACGATCACGCTCCGCATTATAAGTAAACAACGCCTAGTGACTTTCCACGAAATCTTGGTTTGGGGCAAAGATTTTCACTGAAAATAATCACACGTTTTCTTTTTGACTTTATTATGCGTTTTTTGCAGCTATGCAATGCGGAAAATGCATATTGACGAGAGGTTGTCTCTGTGTGTGTGTGTGTCTGTGTGTCTGTGTGTGCGCTGGGCCTCTTTACCGATTTTTCATCTCCTACAAAAACTACAGAGCTGAAACTTTGGGAACATAAACTACATGCATGTACGGGCCAATATCTCCAAAATGGGCGACCTTACCCGCGTGGTACCCACGTACGAACCTGTGAAAGTTTTTTGCGGGTAAGTCGCGAACTCGCGAACCACGAAAGCTAGAAAGCTGAAATTTCCCGTCCACGTAAGTCTAAATGAGCTCAAACCCAGCCCCCGAGTAAGCGTAATACCCGTGTACGGTCCTGCCAAAATTTTTTTCGGGTAAGTTCATAACTCGGGGATCTGAAATGTTAGAAAGCTGAAATCTTATGGAGATGTCCCCTCCAAATAGGTATCAATGAGCTCAAACCCAGCCTTCGCGTAAGCGTAATACCCACGCACGGGCTCACCAAAATTTTTCTCGGGCAAGTTGCTAACTCGAGAACCTGAAAAGCTA